TAATAGTAATCACTGTGGTTTTGTTTCATCTTACTGAGAAAGCAGTTGTGAGTTGTGTATATGGTTCAGACGTGGCTTCCTATACAGAAACAATCTATGAAGAAAAGCCCTGCCCAACATCAGTGTGGATCCTTGGAAGTTCAAGGCCTGCCTCATAATCCTCCAGCTCAGCTAGAGGGGCAGAAACAATAGTAGAAAGAAGCTTTGTTGGGCCAGTCCACACTGTACCCCACACCTCTCACAGATAGCGTGGTGGGGGTGGAAGGATGATCTGTGCAAGGAAAGACTGAGTACTAAGGTGTTTGGATTTCATCCTGAGGATAGAATTTCTTCTCTAGATGTTAAACTGGTTTGTCCTATTGGCCTCCCCACTCCTTCCTAGAAGCCCAGCATGGGCTGGTGTCTGCTTCCAACACTGCAGCCAGGCAATCTCTTCCATGCAGGCGGATAGTTCTATCAAGTCAAACTTCGAGGGCGGCTGCATTTGCTGGCCATGTTTTTATGGAACTATGCTAAGAGACTCTTTATTTGTTGTACTTGGCACCATTAAAAAGCGTTATACTAAATAACTCCATAAAACAGACTAGTTCATTTTGCTACTTGCAGATGTATTCTTCAGATAATTCATCTTGGTGGGCTTGTTTGGATTCTGTGCCAATCAAAATCTCACACTCTAAGGGAGATAGAGAGATACATTCCTCCTTAAGTCCAGTGCCTTGCTTACGAAGCCTTCTTCTGCCCCAGTATTATCTTTTTTAAAAAAAGTCTCTTCTATTTATCTCTGAATTGTTTAATATTTCTTTTTATGTTTAGACATTTAATTAACCTTGATGTTATTTTTCTGTGTAATATGACTTAGAAGTCCAAGCTGCTTTTTCCACCTTTCTAAACAACACCTAGTGGCTCTCAAACCATTTCATAAGAAGCCAATCCATTCCCCATTTGAAATAAATCTTCTAGATTCCCACGTTTCAGGGCCTTCTGTTCTATTCCATTGGCCTGCCCATTCGCCGATACCATACTGTTTTAAGTACTGAAGCTTTAGAGCATGTTTTGATACCTAGAAGGGCAAATCGCTTTTCCTCGATCTCGACTATACTTGGGCATTTACTGTCCACCTGATCATGTTCCATGAAAAATTCCTGCTGGGATTTTGATTGGGACATACAGAATCTCTCAATACAGAAGAACTAACATCTGCATAATGTTGAATCCTTCCATCTAAGAACATAATATGTCTCTTTATTCAGGTCTTTCATCTCTTTCAGGGAAGCTTTGTACTTTTAGCCATGTGATCCCGGAATTGCTTAGTAGGTTAATTCTCCAAATACTAGTTTTTGTTGCCATTGCATTTTCCAAGAATATTTTCTAATTAGTTATTGACATCGTGGGAAAGTCACTGATTTCTATTTTCTGGCACTCTGCAGATATTTCTAATGTGAAGGCAAATCTTTCTTTAGCTGAAGGAAAGTTTTGATTTGATTATTTTCCCCACTGTTTGGAACGTTTCATCTTTCTCCTTCTGCACTCGTTTCAGGGAAGAATCCTTGGCTTAAATCGTCCAACTGATTTTATCTGTGTGTATTCTGTCTTCGGTCCAACTACTAAATTTTTTATTTTATCAAGTTTTAATTTGTAAGCAGTTTTTTCTTACCAGTCTATTCTCTTTTCAATGGATGTGATGGCCCTTGAATCACTTTCTGATTCCTGTATGAACATGTCCACAACAATCAGATACTATTTCAAGATGTTGATTATCTGCTCATATTTGTAGACAGGGACCCAGACTTCAAAGTACTGATGATGTCGTTCTTGTCCCCCAGTTAGGCCCCCCCGCCCCCTGGATTACTGAAGCCCTCACTCTGACAATTGCTTCTTCAGCTCAAGGACGTCCTTCTTGACATCTTTGAAGACTGTCACGGTCTTGCCTACAATACTGTGTACGAGATAGGGCTTGTCACTATCCACTCTCCATCTCTTTCATCTTCCTGCTGAAAGATTTTCGTAGTCTCTCCTCCACACCACATCTGGTCATACAAATTTCAACATGACAATTACATTTTTAATTAAAAAAAAATCTTTACCCATTGTCTTAGTTATCTAGTGCCGCTGTAACAGAAACACCACAAGTGGATGGCTTTAACAAAGAGCAATTTATTCTCTCACAGTCTAGGAGGCTAGAAGTTCAAATTCAGGGTGCCAACTCCAGGGGAAGGCTTTCTCTGTCTGTCGGCTCCGGAGGAAGGTCCTTGTTATAAATCTTCCCCTGGTCTGGGAGCTTCTCAGCGCAGGGACCCGGGTCCAAAGGATGCACTCTGCTCCCGGCACTGTTTGTTTGGTGGTATGAGGTCCCCGTCTCTCTGCACACTTGCTTTTCTCTTTTATATCTCAAAAGAGACTGGCTTAAGATACAGTCTAATCTTGTAGATGGAGAATTGACTCATTAACATAACTGCTGCTAATGCTGCCTCATTAACATCACAGAGGTAGGATTTACAACACACAGGAAAATCACATCAGATGACAAAATCTCACAATACTGGGAATTATGGCCTAGCCAAGTTGACACACAATTCAATCCATTACACCCATCATGCTCAGCTCTTTTTACTTTTGTGTACTTTCAGAGCTTCCTTTTTAGTACCTTGGCCTCCCTTCACAGTGCTGTTATTTTCAGAGTCATGATTTCCTGCATAGTATTTTGAGATCAGAGCAGACAAACATTGACGCTTTTTCATGGGAACTGCTTTTAGCTATTTCAAGGGTACAAAGAGGATGTTGCCTGAGATTTTCTCCTGTCTCCTGCAGTACATCTTCTTCATAAATGCATCTTCCTTCACATCTTGTGTGTCAGGCTCTTTTACTTTGAGAGAGTCCTTCAAGGGCCCCATGTGGATTCATTTTCTAGTGTATTCAGATTTAGCATTTCCTAGGATACTGGGTGAGTGGATTCTTCTAAGTTCTTGCTTTTTTACTTGTTAGTTGTTATAGATGTACTCTCAGATCTCTTACTGGGGGGACACCTTCAGTGCAATGATTTAGTCACTGAGGGCTGGGCGGGACTGCCAGAGGGAAATAAAGCTAAATGTTGGTGACCTGTAAGAAACACAGAGAAACTAGCCCGTTGTCACCCTTTGCTAAATAACAGCTTGGCTCACAAAATAAAGGTTATCACCCGTGAGTACTATGCTCCTTTAAAAAAATCATCTACATGAGACCAAACAGTCAACGATTACTGTAAAACAAAGATGAGAAAGTAAGGGGGCAGGGAAACCTGATGAATAGAAACGGAACAACCAGAACAGAAATAACGTTCATGCATTGTGAAGAATGTAACCAATGTCACTGAGCAATCTGTGTAGAAACTGCTGAATGGGAACCTAAACGGCTGTGTAAACCCTTCACCAAAAACACAATATTATTTTAAAACAGTAACACAGAGACGCAGAAGCCCACATCAGCGAGTCGAGTCCTTTTACTCTAAAGATGAGGAAGTGATGGCCTGGACAGGTTACAGGACTTTCTCTCTGCATAGGACTGGGAGCCAACACCACCATCAAACCAGACTTCTTTGCTCCTCAAGCCCAGGCTTGAGGACACAGAGTTAAGGGTGCGTGTGTTTAGAAACTGTGTCGCTGAGGATCCTGTACAAGTCTCCTCACTGTCCACTGGCAAAGCCACACCACCATTAGGGACATTCCACGATGGGACCCCCGATCAAGAAGGCCTCATTTAAAAGGGGTCCACAGAGGCTCAGCACCTTGCTAAGGGGTCATTTTCCATTATTTTCCCTTATTATCATTATGTGAATTACACAATTATGGTGCTAACAAATACCCAGAGCCTTGGGAACAAAAAGGCCAGGCCATTAAGTCCTTGCCGTGTAATTGCGTGATCTTCAGGGCCGCCTTGCAAAGAACTGACTCACAGGCTCCCTGGCGCAGGATGGAGCAGTAAAAAGTGTGTAGGCCAACACATCTGGGGAACTTACAGTTCTTATATTTAGTTCTTCCTAATACTAATACTTCCTAATTCCTAATACTATTTTCCTGAGTCCCTGGGTGGCACAACAGTTAATGTGTTTGGCTGCTAACCGGAAAGGTTGGTAGTTTGAGTTTACCCAGAGGTGCCTTGGAAGAAAGGCCTGTGGTGATCTGCTTCTGAAAAATCAGCCACTGAAAACACTATGGAGCACAGTTCTACTCTGACACACGTGGGGTCGCTGTAAGTCAGAGGCTGACCTGATAGCAACTGTTACTGGTAATCTATTTTCCACAAAAATAAGAATGACAAACTGTTTCTGATTACAGGTAGTCCCCGACTTAAATGACAGGTTCCAATGATTCTGTCATAAGTCGGTTCTGACGTAAGTCAAATACCTCTTTTATTTTTAGTTCATTATTATTGCTTTTTATTATCAGTATTTTTTATAAATCTGATCTTTGAACATCTGTGAGTTAACATCTGAGAATGATAACATCAGCAAATTACACGCTGCAACATAGTATGTAGTACATATTACTAACGATGTTAAAAAAAAAAGTCATAAGTGCCATTCATCATAACTCAAATATGTCATTGAGGACTACCTGTGTATGATATATCTGGATTATTCTGACTGCAAGTGACAGAAAACCCAAGCAATCTGGATAGTTTACCGCCTTGTGTAACTCAACGGTCTGAGGGTAGGTCTGGCTTCAGGCATAGCTAGATGCAGGAGTCCAGACGGTGCTGTCAGGATCCAGCGTCTCTTGCCCATCTCTCGGCTCCAGTGTGTGCACTCACCTAACATTTCGGCCAGGAGTCCCACCTGCTGGAGACACAGCAGGGGGTGGAGCCAGGTGTCCTAGCTGCAGCCAGTGCTGTCACTAGGGTTGGTGTCACCCCTACCCATGATAATTACAATATTGTAGCTAAAACACCAAAAAATTTGACAAAATCAACGACTATAAAAACATTGGCAGCAACAAAAACAACAGTGCATGCTTGTAGCTTGTGTAGACAAAACCATGTGATTCGAAGTGTCATTGTAACTGGGTAATAATGACAGCTCTGACCAGAGCGTGTAAGCTTCAAAAAGTAAATCAGCGTGGAGTTTTAGCCTTGTACGTATATTGCTACATGTAATCCGGGCTTATGAAAAATGCTTCTGTTGTTACAGCTGACTACAGGGATATATTTATAAAAAATAAATTTTTGCACAAAAATTTTATAGTCATTTTGGTGTGACCATCTCTGCAGTGTCACCCAGTGTGGTCTGCACCCCCCACCCCCTCCAGTGATCCAACTGGCTGCAGCCTGTTTCCCGTCCTCCTGAAGCCACTATTCTAACTGTGGCAAAGAAACAATAAAAGTGTAAACAAACAATAAACAAAAGTGTTTCACGTGGAGGAAGTAGTCTGAGAAAATAAGGCAGGGTGAGGTTGGAGCGACCAGCAGCTACTCTGGCTGGGTGGTCAGAGGTGGCCTGTGACATCAACCGGACAGAGAAACCAGCTGGCCGGAGGGCGGCCGTTCTGGGCAAAGGAGGCAGCGAGCGGAGCCCTTGGGCCTGGCCCTGAGGCACTTTAAGATCTCTCCACCCCTCGTTTCATTCATGACAACTTGGGAAAGAAACCTGCATTCAGAGCAAAACCATCATAAGAGTATAGATTTTCTCTCCGCAGTCTCCACGGGAACAGCAGTGAGAAAATGCCTTTTCAAGGGAAGAGGGAGACGACGTGTTCTGTAAAGTATGTGCCAGGCCAGTCCTCTCGAGGCATAATAACATGCTGAAAATACCCTTGGTAAGACCCTCTGGCTAAAACATAAAAATGTCCAACCCATATGCATTTGAAAAAAAAAATCTCCACTTAAATGCTTATTTTGACTTTTTGCCCAGGATCAACTGCAAAAGCACCTCTGTTCAGAAGTGCAGGTCGGCCATGCTCCAGCTTGTTCCTCAGGAACAGAGACCTGGAGGGAGAGAATACCAGAGACCTGGGTGCTGGGCAGATGTGGGTGTGTGTCTGTGACATGGGCTGGGAAGGGGACACAACCTACTTTTCAAAGCCAGCGTCTCCCCACTAGACAAAGCTTCCTGCTGCGCTGGGCAGGGCTCCCCACGGAGGCAGGGGTGAGGGGGCGGCACTGGGGGCACCAGGCCAGCTCCACTCACATGCAGGCCCCTGAATGCGCAGCCCCGTACCGTGCGACGCTGTGCCTGTGGGAACGAGTCCTTCTCAACTGGAGCTGCACCACTTGGACTTCTTCGCTGCCAGTACAGCTCCGCTGGTCCAGTAATACCCAGCTGAGGACCTGACAGCCCCGAGCTAGTTCTCCAGTCTTGCCCACCCTCTGCCCTCCACCAGGGCCCTGCCTGGGCTCCCCAGAGGCAGGATCTCAGGGGATTGGCTATCTTCCGCCTCTGATCTCCCACTCCCCCAAATTCAGAACACGGACGCTCCTTAATCACTGTCATCCTTCCTCCCCGTCCACTGCTCGTGCAGTCTGAACCCTCTGGAAAATCAGCCTAAAACATCAATGCAGGCGAAAAGACGGAGATAAGCTGGCACCTGAATTAGTTTTCAGCCTCCTGAATACCGAGGTACATCATTCACTCATGTCCCCTGTCCATTAGGGGGCTGCTGGGCACTCGTGGGAGGCCTGTAACTTCCTAGAAAGAACTAGGACTTAGAACCAGCCGCGGTCTGTGATGCAGAAGGTCTGTATGAGCCCCACGCGGCAGGCTGTCAGAGCGGCCAGCGAGGATGAGGGCGCCCCCTCCAGCCTGGCTCTGCCTGAGGATGCTGCTGGCCACCAGCTCACTTGTCCCTCAGCTGCCTCACCAACTCGACCTGCAGGGTGCTGGCCCCCAGGCGCAGGCCCTGCAGGCAGGTGATGGCCTGCTCTGCTGCGGCCAGGTCCCTGAAGGCAAGAAGTGCCGGGCGTCGCGGGCCCTGCCAGGTGAGATGCAGGGGTGTTGCACCACGCTCCCGGAGGGCTCTTTTCAGTTCACTCACTCGGGCGCCTGCGGGGAGGTTGCTCACATGGATGGTGGCTGCAGGCAGGGCCGCGGCATTAGGAGGCAAGCCCTCCCTGTGCAGGCTGCTGCAGGCTGCTGGCACAGAGCCCTCCACGGGCTGGGGGGCATCCTGGGGCCTCTGGACAGCACTTGGGGGAGCCGTGTGCTTGCTGCCAGCTTCCCAAAGGTGCTGCTGCTCCCCATGAAGGGTGACGTCCTTCCCTGCCTGCTGCTCTCGATGGCGAAGGCTTCTCAGCACCGGGATTCTCTCCAGCATCTCAGGGCTGATCTGAAAAAGGAAAGCAGTTCCCGCTATTCTCGCTGTCCCAACAGGGAACGTGCCTTGGTGACCAGGCCGTTGACCACACAGGTTTGCACAGGGGGTCTCAGACTCTGACACACTTCTGACACATGGACTGGACGAGTGTGGTGCAGCGCGGGCCTGGGCAGTGGGACCCCCACAGTCATGAGCCTGGAGCTGTGACCCCAGTTTCAGTGAAGCCTGGACCTCACTGGCGCTGCGCTGGCCGTCTGCCCAGCTGCCGTCACAGCTGTAGGGACAGCAGGCACGCTCTACTCTCTGCAAGGCCCGGGGATGAGAACGCCAGAACAGGGCTCTTTGGCTGGGCCCCTACCAGAATGAGCTGAGGGCAATGGTCTTAGGGACACAGGGACATGAACGGCAACTCCCCTGACTCCCCCAGGACAGCGGGGTTGTCTGCCTCCACACCCTGCCTTCCTACACCTGCGCCTGGGATAAGGTGAGAAAAGGCCAGTAAGAGGGCCAATGAGTCTTCTCCTCCCCTCACCCCTCACAAGGGAACATATCTGGGGCCTCAATCAAGGCTGCAGTGGGAGAGCACTTTCTAACAACAGGCCCTTAAGCAACAGAATAATGCACACACAAACCTTCTCTCTCAGTTGCCTAGGTCTTCTAAACATGTTGGCCTCATCTGGGTTGGTCCAATCAATCAGCAGATACTTCCTGGGGACCTCTACAAGGAGGCGGAAGAAGGGTCCTAACAGATGAGGCCATTTCCTGCCTTTAGAATAGTCTCAAATGGCTGATCCCATTTGAAGATTGTAACTGGCTTGATACAGCCTCATATGTGAAAATCCATCTGGCCCCACCTTGGGGACCGGTCTGCACCAGGGGGGCTGCCCGCATGGGTCAGACCAGTCCAATGATGCCTGAACAATGAGACTTGGAAAGAACTGGCCCTATGTCGTCTGAGGAATCATAGGGGACAAAAAGACACGGTTTCATCCTTCTTGGCAGTTCTCTATCTTTAGAGATGACTTTTGCTTTCCTTTTGGACACAAAGCTTGTAAGTGAGAACAGTGACCGAGAGACAGGCCACTGGTGCTCCACACACGGGCTTCCCAGAGGTCTGTTCTGATGGATCAGAACACAGATTAGCACACAAGCTGGGCAATTACAATAATTACTAGTATCGATGTTCTGGAGTCCCTGGGTGGTACAAACAGTTAATGTGCTCGGCTGCTAACTGAAAGGTTGGAGGTTCAAATCCACCCAGAAGTGCTTCATAAGAAAGGACTGGTGATCTACTTTCAAAAAATCAGCCATTGAAAACCCTGTGGAGCACAGCTCTATTTTGACACATGAGGTCGCTATGAGTTGGGGCTGACTGGACAGCAAACTTGTTTTAATGATGTTCTGATTATATTTGGAATAATATATAATTTAGAGCAATGGTTCTTCACCTTGACACGTATCAGGGATTCTTGAGATAAGCTATGGTTCCCTTGCAAGAACAAAGTACCCACAGTTTTGTGAACAGTTTCCCAGGGTCCGTGCAGGCTCAGAGTCTGTTCACAGCCCACAGGTCCAGCTAGGAATCAATGATTAAAGTAAGAGTTAAAGAAATACAAACACCTAGAATAGTCAAGTACCTTCTTGCAAACCTAAAGGTTCTCAATCCTTATTGACTATCTGGCTTTGTCTCACCATATGAGTATAAAATGGTCTCGCTTCACCCACAGCCTTCTTGGCGGGGGGTAGAGGGGTGGTCCTCAATGGCTGCGTGCGGTCTGCTCCCTGCTCAGCATGTCAGAAGTCTCTGCAGGGGATGCTTGTCCTCCCTGGGTCTCTAGGAGTGAACGGGCTCAGGCTGTCACAGACGTTGCAAAGAGAGATGTGCTCCTTCTAACGTTCCATCTCTGAGATGCAGAGGAAACCAAAAGCAAAACCTCTGTTTGTGCCATGGAAAGGGCCACAGTATGTGACTGTTACTGTTGGGTGCCACTGAGTCGATTCTGACTCATAGGGATCCTATAGACAGAGCAGCACGACCCTGTAGAGTTTTCAAGCTGTAATCTTTACAGAAGCAGATCACCCAGTCTTTCTCCCACAGAGCCGCTGGTGGGTTCAAATCACTGATCTGTAGGTTAGAAGCCGAGCACTTAACCGTTGCGCTACCAGGGCTCCTTCACGGTATGCTACTACTCTCTTCTACTCGAAGGAATCTTCCCCCACTTGACCCCTTGCGATTCTTTTGAACTGATTTGCCACAACTAGACTAGACTCCCAGACCAGGCTCCTGGCAGCTCTGGGACCCAGGGATGCCCCTGGTAACTGCAGCCAGCCAATCAGTGGGTCCTGGGATGCCCACAGGTGACCGCAGCCCAGCCAAGCAAACTTCCGTCCACACCCCTGTGCTACCTTCCTAAAGAGCTCAGATTCTGGCTTTCTTCCAGCATATCTGAAAACCAATGGAAACAGGTCATAATGAGACTTTGAAGGATTTCTTCAGTTACTAGCTCTAGTATTTAGGAAGGATGAGCAAACTTCAAGCTGCGATTACAAGCAGTGAAAACATAACTGTGTTCTTATGTGCAAGAAAGAGCTGTCACTCAGGGTGGCAGAAGCCCAGGGCCAGAGCGGCTCCCTGGTGGAGGGACTGGCCGTGCTCTGCTGACACAGCCTGCCCATAGACTCCCCCTGGGTGGCTGTGGCTCCTAGGTTTCTGACCAGCGGAGCCAGAGGAGGCCCCGCACCCTGGCTCCTGCAGCAGAAACCCACTCTGAAGCAAGCTGGGGGAGTCCACAGGCCTCCTCTGCTCCCCTTGCAGAGGCTGCGCATACCATCATCAGCTGGAGCATGCTGAAAATGTCTGCACCGCACGTATAGATCATCTGAAAACGGTCTCCATTGCCACCCAGCCCACACAGACGGGGGCCTTTACAGTGGAAGTGTACACCCTGCCGGTAGGAAAACTGCTCACGTCAAAAGCGAGGCTTTTTTGTTGCTTTGGTAAGGAGTGAAAAATCTTAGTATCAGTCCCTTCTCCCTCTCTCCTCCACCAGCTGTAAGTGGAAAAGTCTTCCTGACTAGGAAGTGGCTTCAGGCATTCTCCCGGCTACATGCGGTTTTTGACCTTGAAGACTCGCCCGTGCTGAGGGCGCTGAGCAATGACAGGAGCCCTCGCACGCAGCAGACGATCTGACTCCCACACGCGACAAGGCACAGCTGTCTGACTCTGTTTTTCCTGGCTGGCAATTAGGAACATTTGTCTCCTTCTGTCAATTTTCCATGTGCAGTGAAAGATTTCTGCTTGTTAATCAGACATTAAAACATATTTCTGCCCTTCTGTCACTAATCACTCCATCCTCAAACTGGATTTTCTTTTATATGCTACAGTCACTCTTCACTGAAGCATTCAGATGCCAGCCATTTATAAATATATATTCTCTTTAAAGATCATGTTTAAAAATCTCTCCCCTAGGAATACATGCTAAGTACAAATCAGAAATCTAACTCTCAAGACATCTGTTGCCAACCCAAAAAATGGGGACTTGGATCTTATTGCAGCTACAAACTGGACTGGTTTTGGAATGCTGGGCAGTTGCTTGGCTCTGTGGCTCTCCCTCTTCTCGATTAGACAGTGGGGGACTGGGGGAAACAACCTGAAAATGCCCCTCATTCTGAAATGCTGTGATGTGCTTGAGCAGATGTAGGCAAAGATACACAGACACCAAAATCATGTCTGATGTTGAATACAACAACTACCAACATTATTAATTCTCTTGCATGAGAATGAAGCTTATCCTTCACTGATGAAAATGCTTTTAGATACTTCCAAATGACCAAGGTGGAATAATTACATATCCGCAAGCATGCTTAAAAGAGGACAGAGAAAGCCAAGGAAACACGTTCTTTTCCACACCTGTCATTCACACCTTGCAAAACTGATTAGTGTTCTGATCCTAAGTATCACGTACAGGCAGCCCCTAATCTATGACGTATTTAAGTTACAACAAACCACACTTACAACCATTTGTTGTTGGGTTTTTTTGTACATCTTATCCTTAGTAATATGTACTACATACAGTGTTGCAGCGCGTAATTTGCTGCTGTTATCATTCGGCATTCTAAGATGTTTACTTGCAGATGTTCAAAGATTGAATTTATAAAGATACTGATAATATAAGGCAATAATGATGAAAACTAAAACAAAAAAAAACAAAAAAAAGGTATTTGACTTACGTCAGAACTGACTGACGACGGAATTGTCGGAATGGAACCCCGTCGTAAGTTGGGGACTACCTGTAATTATAACAGGGCTCAGTGACGACATCTTTCTGCAGAGTTGGTCAGAAGTGTCAGTTAGTGCCAAAAGGGTCCATTGGGTTCGTTAGTTGGACAGATATGTAGGTAGATAGGTAGAGAGAAAGACAGACAGACATATGATGGATGGATGGATAGATAGACAGACAGATAGCTGCCATCAAGTTGATTCTGTGGAGCCGGGGCTGGAGAGCCGACCAGTGGTACCCCTTTACAGTGCACCTCTGCAGAGACTGGTGGGAGGCCCGGTCTTGGCTCAGCCAACCACCCAGCTGGAATAGAGGAAGGATTCTGCCAGCAGCAAAGGAAAGACAATTAGTGCAACCATGCCCAGGCTGACTTCTCACGTTTACTAATGACACTGTCTCACATTCACAGTGATGAGTGATGACGACAGCAAATGCTTACCACACGCTGTACTCAGCCCTTGGCATGCACGGTCTCCCAACAGCCTGTGCTGCTCAGCTTCATGGGTTAACTCGGCTAGGGCAAGCGTACCTGTTACTTAACTGAACTCTCACATCTACAATCAGTCGACTTAAGTAGAGGAGCTCTCCCTCGTAATCTGGGTGGGCCTCATCCAGTCCACTGAGAGGCCTTAAAAGCAATACCTGAGGTTCCCGAGGAAGAAGAAATTTTGGCCCTGGACCGCGGCTTCAGTTCCTGTCCCAGTTTCCAGCCTGCTGGGCTGCCCTACAGATTCTGGATTTGTCCGCCCCACAACTGTGTAAGCCAATTCCTTGAAATATGCCTTCTGTATATTCTATCTATATGTCTCCTCCTGGTTCTGTTTCTCTGGAGAACACTGACTAATACAGACCCTATGAGGTTAGTGCTGACATTTTACAGATAAAACACTGGGGCCTTGCAGAGGGTGCCCAAGGATAAAGATACTGAGTGATGAACATGTGATTCTCTAAGCTCAGCTCTATACCCTGTGCCAGAGGGTCTCCCATTTTCTAATCAGGAGCACAGGCTGAGGGAAAGCCCATGTGGACTTTGAAGGTAGGTCGAGGAGACACAAGTTTCAAAGTCACCACAGGTAGACACTCAGAGTCTTATCAGACTGGCCTATATATAAGCTTGGGCAAGACTTACATTTACCGAAGTGGGGAGCTAGGCTGGGGGATCCAATGCTGCAAAACCCTTGAGCATTAGGAACGAGTAAAGAAAAGGCACCACATTTTACACACCATTCACATTCTTTGTGTAAGAGATCTGCAGCATTTAGAAGAAAATGATATTCTGGATATTCCAGTAAAATAGGCAAAGGCCATTCTTGGATTCTAATACATACATGATAATGAGTCCATGACTAGACTATCATGGAAAGACATACCAAAGTTTGCCAAAAAAAAAAAAAAAAAATCTGAAACCATGTATAACATAGCACTGAAATATCCTGAGAGCTAAAAAAATGGGGCTGGGGAGGGTTACACAAGAGGGTTATTCCAATCTTAACTGCAATTTAGGGATTTTTTTTCCAACCAACATGAATGAAAATTCTCTTTGGCTGCACAGCTACCGAGGAAGAATACAATGTTCGGGGACTAGAAAATGTTACAGCTTCACATGGTCAGTGCAAAGCAATGGACAACAAGGTGGGGTAGAACTGAGAATGCAGGACCCAAAACGGGAAATAGCTTTTCAGAAATTTGCGATTCCTGCCAAAGCTGCATCAATGACCACCATCTGCCAGGAAGAGGGGGAGACCGCTGGGGTTCCAAGTAGCCAGGAAAGCCCCCCACCACCCTGTAAGCATCAGGGTGCTGGCTGTTTTGGCTTTCTTTTATGTAAGAGGGAGTATGCTCATCTAACATGTCCAGTGACCTCATTATTTTCACATTTTTCTTGTTCACACCTTCAGATTCAGCTCTGGCTATTCCCAAGGCATCACCTCTCTCTTTCTGAGACGCCGATGCACCTTCCTATCAGCCGCTGCCATCAACCCTCTTCTGAGACGCTGCCTGATGGGCCCATCCCCTAGCGTAGCCCCCGCGACCAGCACCCTCCGCTCTGAGAGGACAGCCATCACTCCTTCCCTGTGTCAGCCTCCACCTAAAGGTAGGCTGTGGACCCAAATTCGGAGGTAATCCAAGTTCTTAAGAAAGATGCCAAGGGAGGTTTCACTATTCTTGAGGTAAGGCGACCACCTTCCCTGGCCACATCCATAAAGTATTGTTCACGGGAGCACACAGAGGGGCCTGCCCATCCACCCCAGCCCAGCCGTGCTCAGGCCTCACGGCTGTGTTAGGGGCTGGCTCAGGAGCAAGTGCTCAGCCACCCTGGCCATCCTGGGGCCCTAGCCATCTGTGGGTGCCTGCATGGAAAGACCTGCTGGGCCTGGAATGACGTGGGGTGCTTCACTTCTGTGGTCACACTCTGAGGGGATGCTGTTTACTTTCCATGCCCCACAGAAGGCCTCTTTCAAACTCTGGATGATTCAGGTTTGAAGAATGGGATACATAGACAAGAATGCTTGTTTCCAACAGTCTCATCCAAATTGAGCCCAACCTCTCAGTGTGCCCCCAGTAATTACGGCTGCTTGACGCAGAAGCAGAGCTCTAACGCGCAGGCTGGCCGCTGGGGCTCAGGTTTCCACTGCAGGCAAATTTGCAATACATGTCCTTACCTACTCCGGAGAGGAACATCACAAAGGCACCAGGCTTACAAAGGCTTCGGGGGCTGCCTTCCACACCATTTTGTTTTGCTTGGTGCTCCAGATACACAGTAAGAAAATCTCTTTTTATAAAAGGGAAAACTCATGGTCAGGGCCAGGCAGACCACACTGTAGCTGGGATTTGTTGTTGTTAGTTGCCGTTGAGTGGATTCTGACTCATGGCAACCCCGTGTGTGCAGAGTAGAAGTACTCATAGGGTTTTTAAGACTGTGACCTTTAGGAAGCAGACTGCCAGGCCTTTCTTCCAAGGCGCCTCTGGGTGAGTTCAAACCACCAACCTTTCAGTTAGCAGTTGAGCATTTAACCATCTGTACCACCCAGGGACTCCTGGGATAGTAGAAAGCAACTCTTAAAAATGAGGAACAGTTAGCCAAATATAAACTCAAAGCCTCAGCCTCCCAGCAGACTGGTCCTCTCGGCTGTGGACAGCTGGTGCGGCAGCAGACCGGGAGCCTGGCTGATATCAGACCCCAGGAGCTGTCAGAGCCGATCTCGGGGTGCACCCAGGGACTCTGACTCAGCCGCCCCAGTAGCTGCACTGTTCTAGTGCTCCACAGCTGGTTCTGATGTACAACCGTGCTAGGTCTGCGGCCGCTGCTCTGCCAGGCAGACAGCCCTCTAGAAGAGAGCTACCTGCTGAGCTGCAGAGCCTCCCTGACGTCATGGTGACAGCCTACCTTACACCATGTGATGCCCTTTGGCTTTGGGCGCCTGCACCCCGTCATGATGACCCTCGTTGGTGTGAGCACATAGTCGACGGTGAGGTCATGGTCCTCAAGTAGTGCTTCAGGGATGTCGACCACCTGTCAGACAGAAGTGGACAGAAGAGCTGATGCAGCATCTCTCTGGGGAAGGAGGCTAGTCGGCAGCAGCACCCCCTCTGTAGACGCAGCTCTGTGTCGCCCGGAGAGGATGCATACTGGCCTGTCAGCACCACGCCTGATACAAGCCTGTGAGAGGGAGGGGCCTGTCTGCCTATCAGTCCCCCTTGCTCCCCTCTCTCACTCTCTCGGGGGGTCTATCTGTTCTGCCTGTTTGTCCCTTTTGCTATCGCTCGCTGGGAGGAGCGTGGCACTGGCCCTGCCTGGCCCATTCACAGAAAGCACCTGGCCGTCGTGGACGACTGTGACCACGGGCGTCTCCTCGCAGACGGCCCCCATCGACACCATCATGGCGTACTCCAGGTCAGCGTAGCCTTCTCCCTTCCCGATCCGCCAGCCTGAGAGAGAACGCAGAGAATCAGCCCTCTGCGGGGTCTGGGACATTTCAAGGAAGGAATCGTTAATTACATAACATCAGAAAGAGAAACCTGAATCCAGGATCCCCAGCCCTTCCCCAGGAACTGTAACCACCACGAGCAGCCCACTGAAAATTGACTCTCAGGAGTTAAAGTGGATAACTATACGGAATTATGTGTAGTGCTTAAAACACAGTCAAGTGAGCAGCGAGCATTCTAAACATGTTACAAAAGGAAACCGAGCTCATACTCACGAGCTTTAGGTTAGCAAGGCTCACGTTTAAATGCAACAAAAGAGCAGTTTTTAAAACGACTAAGAACAAATTCTTTCTAAAAGCAAAATGCTTGTGATCTATTTACTTTGGAAGAAAAATAAAAACTTTGAAATCACAGATTCATGATTTAAGATGACACAGCCTGCCTCTAATAAAGCGCTAAATAATTATCTAACTCCATCCTGCAGTTCTGGAGGGAGAGGCTGTTTTAGTAACCCTAGTTTGATTGGGAAATCTGTAATGATGGCACAATGAAAGGTCTGCCTAAAGTTTAAGGAGAAGCTCACCCAACTTCCCAGGAGACGAGAACAAGAGAGTCAACATCGAATGCCTCTGGCCCCCAGATGAGGCTATACATTGCTCTCAGTAGGAAGCCCAAGGCATTTCAGAAATGCTGGCTTCTCAGTAGCACCATCGACAACATCACCCAGAGCACAAGCCTCACCGCCAATGTCTTTTTAAGATTCTCATCTGGTCACACTGCTTTCACAGTTAAAAACCTGCAGCCACGCATGCAAAGAAACAAGAATTCAACAGAAAAGCGGCAAAGGATGCAAACGGTTCAGGGACAAGATTCACAGCAAATGAACGATGAACATGAAAATGTTCCCCTTCACTCAGACTTAAGTGCAAATCAAAAGGCAAACAAGATGCCACTGTTCACGGCCAGACGGGTGGGAATGACACAGTCTGCTAATTCCAGCTGTTAACAAGGGAATGAGACAGGGTGGGCATGCAGTGTCGGGGACTGGATGGGGCGACCCTTCCAGTGGGTAATTCGACAAGACCTATCGAGATTTAAAACATACCCTTGGGTACGGCAATTCTCCTCCTAGGAATGATCCCAGGGACAGTCCCCAAAGCTCCCTAGACTTTGTGACAAGGAAGTTCCCTTCTGTATTATCTGTTTAAAAAAAACCCAACCCAACCCTGGAAATAACACAACTGTCTATCAGTGAAGGCCTGGTGAAATATATTCTGGGATGTTCCATACAGCCCCTTGACACAATGAGGTCAGCCGTGTGTGCTGACGGGAGACCTCGGAGATACACCATCAAGCCAAATATGAGCACTGTATATACTGTTACCCTACTGTGAAAACAGAAAAGAGATACACCTACTCCTCACTTATCGACGTGGTTAGGTTCCAAAGACCAGGTTGTTATGCAAAAATTGGCATTATGTGAAAATGGAAGATGCCACATCAGATCACAAAATGGAAGATGACTACATCATTACATAACTGCCAAATTAAATCATTACATAACTGCCATACCACTGAGAATCATGGCCCAGCCAAACTGACACCTAACCTTACCCATCACAGCCAGTGTTACTCTTGCCTTGCACCTTGGCGTTCATTACTGCCAGACGTACAGCGCAAAATAGTCAGATAGTAGATTTTTTTACTATTGTTGTAAATTCGAAATGTCAGTTCACGAGATAGTCGGTAAGTGAGGAGTAGGTGTATATATAAAACTTCCATATAAAATTTGTAAGACATCGATGTCAGACACAGGTGTCAGTATGGATGTGTATACACACAGGAGCTGTTAGCAGTGCACATTTGGGAAAAGCATGGACGCAGCTTTCTGTGCCATTTAAATTTCCTAACCATATGTATGACTATTTTTATTATTTTGTTTGCAAATCAACAGGAGGTTATCCAGGCAATGAGACATATAAGACAATTTTGTTTTCTTCTTTATACATCCCTGAACTACAAAAGGAAAACCCTGTATTTTTTCTTAAAGAGGAACCTTTGCTAACTTCCCATTGCCAAAAGAGCGTGGCCCCCATCCGGGCGAAGGGCCAGTGCAGTCTCACCTGCCGGAGGGCAGAGCCCCAGCAGGCAGGAAGTCCCAGCCACACAGTGTTGTTCAGGAGGCGGCCACTGCATAATAAGAACAAGACTCAAGACCTTGTGTTTTCCCCTTCACTGGATTCCCTCCAAAACCAACTGTTTACTGACATTCTGCACATAAATTCAGCTCCAGTTCCAGCCAACTTGAGAACAGACAGCAAACCTTTCACCACCTAAGAGAGTGTTATCTCACTTTATTTCTCCTCTTAGAAAAGTGAACACGCTGTAAAGGTGTCGAATGGGGCCGGGAGGGGAGGGACGAAGCACGGAGGCCATGGTGTCTGAGCCCAGGCAGGCATCTAGAAAGCAGAAATTGCCACAGGCTTTCAAACGACAGACAGAGGGTTTGCAGGGCAGCCCCTTCAGGAGAAGCCATCCTGTCCCAGAGTGCATGCTCTGCCATCTCACCTTGTTCAGAAACAGCGACGGAGCCCACAACAACCAGATCCACAAGGACCCTGGAGTCCAGTCCGACAGGCACACTGTAGTTCCTCACACCCTAAAACAGAGACATGCGCTTTACAGCCTCAACTGCAACCACGCTCTCCCTCTATAACTCAGCAATCTAAAAGCGCTCAGGGTCTGAATCAATCTCCTATACAAAACAATAAACGCCCCACCCTATGATAAGCATGAGGCAGGACAGAAGTGAGTTTTCAGGAAAAACATTCATTTCTGGAGTCATTTTAGGATTCATATCCCACAGTTTCCTCCCCAGGAAAGTGACCAGGAGGAAGTGACATGACAAATGAATAGGACATCCATTTCATGATATTTAACAAATTGTCTTTTCTTGTTAGGCAGAAGAACACAGGCTCTGGAGTCAAACGGAACTGAGTTCAAATCCACTATTGGTCATGTGACTGCAGTGGGCTCTTTAACTCTCTGAGCATCAGTCTCTTCGTGTGTAAATCAGGGATACCCCCACCTGCCTCATCATACTGTTACTGGGATTAAGTGAGAGAAGAGGAGTAACAAATTTAGCACATAAAAAATGGTCAGTAGGGTTGAAGGTTTGAGCCCATCCAGAGGCACCTTGGAAGAAAGGCCTGGCAATCTACTTCCAGAAAATCAGCCATTGAAAACCCTGTGGAGCACAGTTCCGCTCGGACACACATGGGGTAGCCATGAGTCAGAGTCCACATGCAAACAGCAACTGGGGAAACCGACATCACACGTTAACACTAGAGGGCGCCAAAGCACCAGTGATTTACTTCTGCTTTTCTTTTTCATCAAGGAATTTGTAACTTGCCAACTTGGTGCAAAACAGAAACTGAGCTACACAAGCGGAATATACTTGTTCATGTTTTTTCTATTTGGCTTCTTTAATGACACTATTGCTGAACATTTTTAACATCCTTGTTCATTTAGCTTTGTTAGAAATAGCTTCCAACGTCATGACGCTGTTTCATGCTATGTTAATTCATCTCACGTCTCCACACGAACAGTTCTTTTTCTCAGCAATGTCGCCTTCTTGCACTTACCTGAGAGGTGGCACATTTTCTCAAGATGTCTTTCGTTGCCCCAGGAGGTGGTATGATCTTATTGAACAATCCCGTTCTCAATCGTGGTGTTGGAACTAATAATGTCTTGTGGCTCTTTTAAAAGAAAGAGGATCCATAAATTAAAAAACCATACATAACAACCTTCTTGCGTATGTGTTTTAAACATTTTAGGAAAAGAAGCATTTGCTTGTGTGTGTGCCAAGGAAATTACTTGTATGCAAAACCAATTAAATTGTGTATGTGTGTGTAGGGTGGTCGATTTTAGTTAGAGCTACTACTCCGCTGCCTTGCTATGAAGAGGCAGTATGGGAACAAAGACTGTTCCTACAGGATTGATGGTAGAATTAAACAAAGTGTTTAGAATTGTGCCTCCCACGCAATAAACATTCACTACTGGTACTACACTGCTGCTGCTGCTGTTATTACATCTAGTTCATCAACGTGATTTGTTGATAGGGAAATGAAACCGAAGAAATAGCGCCTCTGGAAGAGTCTAAAGGGAAGCTGCGTCCATCCATTAGGGAAAGTGTCCCTCGTGGAGTTGGCTAAGGAGGCTCCCTGCATCCTGCTCCTTCTTCTCCCCATAGAAACACTTTCACTTGTTCCTTTCCCTGCCCAGCATGAAAGGTGCTATGATGGTTAATGTTATGTGTCAGCTTGGCTAGGCTATGATTCTCAGTGGTTCGGCAGAAACTACGTATCACCTCCCATTTTGTGATCTGATGTAAGCAGCCAATCAGTTAGAAGAGGAGTTTCCCTGGGGGTGTGGCCTGCACCCATGATATAAATGAATGTTCTGGAAAAACTCGCTGTTTCCGATCCTGCACTCTTCTCAGCGTCTGACCTTTGGTTCTTGGGATGTAAGCCAGCAGGGGCCTCCAGCCTATGACCTGCCCTGCAGGTTTTGGGTTCACCAGTCCCTGCAACCACGTGAGCCAGTAGAGGTCATCAGTTTGTCGTCTGACCCACAGATTTGGGACTTGCCAGCCCCCACAATTGTGTGAGCCATTTCCTTAAAGTAAATCTCTCTACACATCTGTATACGTTTCACTGGTTTTGCTCCTCTAGAGAAGCTAGACTAAGATAAGTGCCCTGTGTCAACCAAGGGGTCTCAGTGGTTTGACTTGACAACAGTGGTGGGAGAAGTGAGTCACCAGCCAGCGTGTGGCCATGTTAGGCCTGCTGACTTGCAGAGATGCCGCGTCGTGGCAGTCAGCACCACAGTCATGCTGTGGAAAGCGATTTGTTTCAGCAAAACAACATCATCTATTATGTGAAACTGATGTGACTTTCATCTTACTGCTTTATAGCTCTTTTGTATTTAATTTGGTTTGATGGTTGCATAAGAGTATACATATAAAAAAAATTATATCTAGTTTTATGTTTCTATATATCAAATTAAATTATAGTAAGTTAAATTGACACAGAGAATTTTTTTATTTTTCCTTGAAAGGTGCCTATATATTTAAGTTGGGAAGCACTGCTCTAATTCATTATATATTTTTGGGACACATTTATCAGATTTCTTACTCATGGGTTATCAAGTTTTGAAGAATATTATAAATGGGGGAAAAACAAATAAACATGCTGTAGTCTTTCTCTTCTGGGGAGGCGCATCAGAATTTGGAATGCCTCAATGTCAGAGTTTTGAAAATCCTTTATCTTTGAATCGAGAAACACTCGGGACTTCTGACTGACCAATTGCTAAACAACAGAGAGACTCCTGGACTGTTCTTTCCTGTGCTGGGGGAATCAGAGCCTCAGTGTTCTAAATAAAGGGCTGTCTGCATGCACATAGGGCCAGCCTCTGCTCAGGGAAGTGGGGTTACCTGCAATGCCAGCAGCCGAACACCTTCCAGCGGTTTATCAGGGCCCACTTTAATGTTCCACGTCCTGGCAAAAGTTTCTAGCTCTTTGATGTTCTGGCAAGCCAGATAAGACCCCTAGTCAGGCAAACAGACAGAGATGCACTTACATCGAGGATGCAGAAGCGAGTATTTTTCTGAGGAGCATCAGGATTTACTTTAATAGTTCTGGCCACTTTGAATTCCCGCAAGTGTGGGGGCTGCTCAACAGCCCAAGAAGCACCTTATTTTTAAATGCACGTGCACATTACCAAGAGGGCCATCCAATATTATGACAACCGTGGTCTGTGCGTCCGAGCGTCTCACCCAGACAGGCAGGGTGCCTAATTCTGAAGACAAGAAGACACCCAAAGAAACAGCTCTGAAAGCAGCTGGGATAGAAAGAGACTTGACAAAGCTAGCCTAGCCCCAACTTATTTTTTACTGAGGTAAAACATGCATCCAAAAAATGTACAAATTGTTGAGTGCAAAATGCAATGAATTTTCACAAATGAACACACCTGTGCAACCATCACCTAAGTCAAGAAACAGACTACCCCTAAGCCGCGCCCACCGCCTCCCAGCTGACTCGCTGCTGAAGAATCTGTAATGACTGTGTGTCCTTCATCCTTTTCCCCTGTACTCCATGGACATTTCTCTCCCTGGAATAAACCAAAACCAGTTCCTGTTAATTCGTTTCCAGCTCACAGCAACCCTGAAGGACAGTAGAACTGCCCTGTAGGGTTTCTAAGGCTGTAATATTTACAGGAGCAGATCGCTAGGTCTTTTCTCCCATGGAGACGCTGAGTAGATTCGAACTGCTGACCTTTTGTTAGCAGCCAAGTGCTTAAGCACTGTGCCACCAGGGCTCCTCTCCCTGGGGTAATAAGCACTAAACCAAAACAACAGAAACAAATCAAATAATAACAAAAATTGTACGAATGAACAGTTTTCAAAGGGACATGTTTGTCTCAGAACCAGCCCAGCTGAGGACCAAGAAGGGATGGGATGACAATGCTTCCCCCAGGCAGGGGAGCCAGAGGCCAGTTAAAAAGTGGAGGGTGGCAAGCAAACAGGCTGAGTCCCACAGGCCTGGCCAGGCAGCCAGCATATTTTCAAAAAGTGCTTTCTTTCTCTCTTAGAAAATATGTGTGCCAGAGATGATGAGCTGTGTGATGTTCTGTCTTTAGTGAAAATTTTTTTATGTCAATATGATCATACACAAACGTCTTTGATGGTTTTATATTTTGAACAGTTGGGAAACTGAGGCCCAGAATTGCTGTTGTTATTGGGTGCTGTCAAGTTGATTCTGACTCATAGTGACCCTGTAGGACAGAGTAGAACTGCCCCATAGGGTTTCCTAGGCTGTAATCTTTACGGGAGCAGATTGCCAGGTCTTTCTCCTGCAGAGCCACTGGAGGGTTCGAACCACCGACCTTTTGGTTAACAGCTGAGTGCTTACCCACTGCCTTCCAGAGTGGTCAGGGTCTGGCAAGTCCTTTGTCCCTCTCCAAAGGGGTTAATGGCTGGGCTGCACTTGAATAGCCCATTTCCTCCACAATGTTCTTAGGGAAGCCAGGTTTGTGAAAAGGCAACCCAACAATAACAATCTTCCAGCCAGGATAAATATTTTTCTTTGTATCAAATAGTAAACAGTAGCCTTAGCACCACCTCATCCTCAAGACACAACCAACTCTGCTGAGAAAGGCAAGAGCATGGTCACTGGGCGTGAAGGTTAAGTAACAGGATGAACGACATCTCCAAACCCCAACCACGCCCTAGCCAGATGGTTCTGATTTCACAGTTCCCTGGATTCTAACCCACCAGAAAGCAGTGCAGGGGCTGTATGACCCATGTTATTCATGTAGGACTATCTAGTTTTCCTTTGCAATACTCCAGGAATGCTTTAGCTTTAGTACCTTGAAGTTAGGGATTCTGTGATGAACTGGTCGGGGAAAATCAGCTAGGTTTTGTGATTCCATGTAGTCCCAAATTTTTTCACGGATATCCTGTTTGGTGACACCTATCGCGACAAAGGGTTGTGTCTTATTAATAAAGGAAAAAGGAGTTGTACTCTGCATGCAGTCACATACTACCCTGTCTGCCTGCTCTACAGTTACACGCTTAACTCTCTACACCCATTGCCGTCGGGCCGATTCCAACTCATAGCAACCCTGTAGGACAGAGTAGAACTGTCCCATAGGGTTTCCTAGGCTGTAATCTTTATGGGAGCAGATCGCCAGGTCTTTCTCCCATGAAGTGGCCAGCGGGTTCGAACCGCCAACCTTTCATTTAACAGCCGAACACCTTACCAGTGTATCACCGGTTAACAACCATATCAGAGAACAAAATGCAGCCCATCCCATGTAACCAAGCATTCGTTTTGGGTTCTCGCTTGGACGCACAAGTTCTGTTAAGAAGCAAAGGAGCTGTAATCTAGTCCTCCTGTCTATTTAGTATTGATCTAGCTTTGATTAGTTTACTTTTGCTATAAGTCAAGTAAGCTTGTCTTAACCCTAAGTGATTTCTAAGCTTGTTGTTGGGTACTGTCAAGTTGGTTCATGGAGACCCCATGACTTACAGAGTAGAACTGTGCTCCATAGGGTGTTCTTGGATGCAATCTTACAGAAGCAGATTGCCAGGCTTTTCTTCCTCAGTGTCGCTGGGTGAGTCTGAACAGTCAGCCTTTCAGTTACCAGCCAAGTGCAAACCATTTTTTATTTGTAAGCTAGTTATTACTTTCGATTACCAGCTACAATTCCCTTGATTAGCGTGGGAATCTTTTATTCTATCTCAAACTTTGGAAATGCCTTTTCAGGCAACAGATATACGTCCTTAATTATTTGACTGAAGCAGTACTAATAAGATTTGCATGAATTGTGTGCCCCTCTTGGCAGCAAAGGAATATAAAAATCAGTTCCCAGTGAAGTAGAAAAAACATAAAGCTAACAACTCCAAATGGACACATTTTAAAACACTTTACTGGATATTCAGTTTTGTTGGTCCAGAAGGGTCTCCTCCTACTTGTACAGAAGTTTGTTTCAAATCACTTTGATATCTACTACCTGACTTGTTTTCCTAACAACTTCTTAGATGGCCAGCATTGTGTAAATTATTAAGAACTGCACACACGGTGGCACAGTGATTAAGTGCTCGGCTGCTAAATGAAAGGTCAGTGGTTTGAACCCACCAGCTGCTCTGCAAGAGAAAGATGTGGGAGTCTGCTTTCATAAAGATTACAGCCTTGGAAACCCTATGGGGCAGTTCTACTCTGTCCTATAGGGTCACTATGAGTTGGAATCAACTCAATGGAAATGGGTTTGGTTTTTGGTTTGCACACATGGTAGTCTTACTCGATACTATACTATCACTACCAACCCCAACTGACCACTTGGGCACCCTGATGCAACACTTGCCTCTCTCTTCTCCCTCAGGCCTTTGTACATCCTCTGCTCCCCTCTTCCTAGTCAGTTCCTCTTTCCCTTCAGGTCTAGCTAGACGCCACCTCCCCCAGGAAGCACTCCTGACTGCACAGTCTTAGACTGATGCCCCTCCTTTAGGAAGCAGGCCCCTCTTTCCAGTCCAGCTCACACTTTTTTTGTTTTGTTTTCAAACAAACAAAAACAATTATATTGGCACAACTATTATAAGCTTATTACCTTTATCACTTTCACTAACGAACTAACCCCGGACAGCATCTCCAGTATGGTGTAGGATACTGTGTGGGACACACCCATACACAAAATCTCAATGAATCACCAACATTTAAGGACTTCCATTTATAAAGCAATGGACTAGGGGCAGACAGGAGAAATACAAGGAAAGGGCAAGTCCCTGTCTTGGGAAACTTGCACCAACATGGGAAGTGATTAGAATAATAAAAGGTGACAATATTAACGTGTAAAATGCCTGAACCCTGTTTTGTAATGGCCTGTTTACTCCCCTGCAAGAGGCCTTAGGTCAGCCTGGGCCTCATTCCTCCTTCTGTCTCCAGTTCTGGCACAAGGCTCGCCTCCACCAAGGGTCGGTATTACCACCCCACTGTGCTGTAATCATCTTTATTGTGCTGTTTACTTCTCCCCAGCAGGATGCACGTGTAGGGAGGTCAGCAGTGGATTTGTTCGCAGTTGTCCTACCTGGATTTGACAGAGCCTGGAATGCCATGTGCATCAATGCCGGCTATTATCTTTGCCAGGCAATCCTGCAATCAATCAAGGCACTTCCTCAGGAGACAGCGACCTCCTAAAGAGCAGCGGCTCGGGAACATGTCTCACCGGTGCCTAGAGCAGGGCCTAGCACAGGGATAGCCGAGGTTGGACGGAATATCGGTTTCCGATCCCGCCCCTGTCCCAGCGGCAAGCCTGTTTCCCGAGTACAGCGGGGACTGTGTGGGGTGCCGATCTAGCGGGGCTGTTGTGACGATCTGTACTGCATCCACCGGCACCCACCCCGCGCCCAGACCCCGCTGCGGGCAGGAGGCCGCGGCCGGAGAGGGGAAAGGAGCCGATCCCCGGCTGCCCATTCTCGGGACCTGTCTCTGCTCCTTCCACGCCGCTCGCCCTCCCAGTGGTCCCCCCGCCTCCCTCAACCACCCAGTGACCACGTCGCACCCCTCACCGGCCCTCAGCTCCATGGCGACGCTATCACTGAGCGACGCCCCCAGGGGCGAAATCTGGCGCGGAGTGACGTCACCCGCTCCGCCGCTTCCTGCGCCTGCGCGCTGGCTGCGAAAGGCGGAGGCGAGGCCTCGGAAGGGCGGGGGTGTGGCCGCGAGGGGTAGGGGCGAGGCCTCAGGTGGGGGCGGGGCTTCGAGGGGCGGAGGCGTGACCTGGCTGGGTTTGCGCCTGCGACGCAGGGTAGGTCCCGCGCGGGCGCTTGGAATCTTGTGTCTACTTCCGAACTTCGCTCATTCATTTAACAAATACCTACTGAGCGCCTGCTCTGACCGGCTTTCTGCCGGCTCCGGAGATCCAGAGGCGAACAGCTCCCGCTCTCTCGGAGCCCACTACCCACTCAAACCCACCTTCCCCAGCCTCTGAGCCGAGAGGCCGCCTCTTCTGGGATGCTGGCCGGTCTTCCTGCTTCGGACGGGATTTCTCCTGCCAAGACCCATGGAGTCCTCGGCCCCAAGCCTGAGTGGGCGTCCGACTCGGCCAGCACTTGTTAGGTATGTCAGCATGGGGTTCGCTGGGCCTGGAGTCTGTTCCAGTCGCCAGGGACTCTTACCATGGCTTCTGGGGCTCCTAGAAACTCTCCCACTAGACAAAGCGGACCGAAGGAGCGTGGCAGCCTGCGTCTGCTCGGCTACAACGTTCATTCATTTGCTCATTTATTCATTCAAATAATCAAGGATGCGCCAACCACCCTCCAAGTGCCTGGAAGAGGCCGGGGGCACTGGGCTGAAGGGACAAGTCCACGGCCTCTTGGGGATCCAGTCCAGCGGGAGAAACACGGGGTTCAGTCTCGCGTGCAGTGAGCGACTGTAGGCTTGAAATAGGCGACCTGCCCCTCACCCCGCGACACACACAAAAAAAAACATGGCGAGAAAAACCAGCTACTAGTAACCGCTTCCTAATGGGTGAGTGCATACCCTTAGCAAGTGCCTAGCACATGAGAAGTACTCAAGTGGTACCTACTTTTCAAAATTGTATATCCAATAATTCATAAGACCCTCACAGCAAACTTGTGAAATAGGCATAGCGTTTGAATACCCGTCTTTGTCACTGTTAGTTGTGATCAAGTTGGCTCCAACTCATGGCGACCCCACGTACAACAGACAAAACGTTGTTGGTCTGCGCCATCTTCACCATCATTGGTATGCTTGAATCCATTGTTGCGGCCGCTGTTTATTTAGAGTGCCTTCCAATCAAGGAGGCTCATCTTCCAGCACTATATTGGACAATGTTCTGTTGTGATCCATAGGGTCTTCATTGGCAAGTTTTTAAAAGTAGATTGCCAGGCCTTTCTTCCGAGTCTGTCTTAGTCTGGAAGCTCTGCTGAACCCTGTCCATCATGAGTGACCCTGCTGGCATTTGAAATACCAGCGGCATAACTTCCAGCATCACAGCTACACTCAAGCCTCCACAGTATGACAAACTGACAGACAGATGTGTCTGACTCAAGGTATGGTCTTTTCATTTGCCTCATATGCATGTGAAAGTTGGACAATGAAGAAGGAAGACAGAAGAAGAATTGATGAGTTCAGACTGTGGTATTGACGAAAAATATTGAGTATACTGTGGACTGCCAGAAGAACGAACAAATTAGTCTTAGAAGAAATATAACCAGAATGTTTCTTAAAAGTGAGGATGGCGAGACTTCAACTGACTTACCTGAACATGTCACCAGGCCTTTCTTCCAAGACACCTTTGAGTGGACTCAAACCTCCAACCTTTCAGTTAGCAGTTGATCGCATCAATGGTTTGCACCACCCGGGGACTCCACTTTAGTTGTGGGCTTTAAATATCAAATGCCAGGTTCTGCTTTTTCGTCCCTGAGTTCCCCTGGCATCACACACATGCCCCTCACCTCCTAAAGTGTTGTAGACAAGAAAGTAACACCAGTAATTCTAATAACAAAAAAGGCTGCTGCTGAGAAGCTAGAAAATTCCCTGCACCTTCAGACATTCCGGTCAGCTGGCTCTGCCCTGTTGGCTGGGCAGTTCTCCCATTCTGGGGTCAGGTGAGGCCTCTCCATCAGCACCTGCACTTCATGGGAGATGGTGCTTTGTCAGGACGAGGGAGGCTGAATGTCACAACGGCGCCTTGTTGTTCCCACTGCCACCACCCAGGCTAGGGATGTGTCACCTGGCCCCAGACTGCAAGGGCCGCCTGCCTCCGAACTCTCCCCTTCTCCCTGCCTCCTCCACCTCTTCTTTTGCTTTCCCTCTCTCCTGCCCTCCGTCCACCTGAATCCCACCAGTATATCCACCTGAATCCCACCAGTATATCTTCTGGCTATGACTTCCTGCATTGCCTCCCCATGGCAAAGCACACACTTCTCAACTGGGCAGCCAATGCCCTGCTTGACCTTCATTTTCAACACCCAGCCTCATCTCTCCTCTAAGTTACACGCCTCCCAGCTCTGAAATCAACTGCACTTCTCCTTCCTCATGTTGCTAGTGTTTCCTTGTCTCAGAAATGCCTTTCCCACTATTTTTGCAGGTCAAAAATCCTACCCCACAATCCTACAAGCAGAAGGGAAGGTTGGGTGCCCAGCTACCACCAGTGACCGCCCTGACAGGGCACACAACAGAGA